TCTCTGTAAGAAGTTGAGACCTAAACAGGACATCTGTACAATTTTCTGAACTTTTCTTCTTGGTGTAATCCTCTAACCAATTCAGTCAAAAATAATACAATTGGTGTGTAAATACTTGGTCTCATTATAGGTAACTGGAGAATTGTGCCAAGCACGATGGAGGGTGTTTGTTTTTCTAATTTGTTTTAGTCTGTTAGCCAGAATGCGTCAGATTTAGTAAAATACTCCCAACTGAAGGCATTTTGTACAAACACAATTGTAGAACTCAAATTTGTCCAAAGGAGAAAAGTATTCTGATTTCTCGACGAAGGTGCTTAAAAAGTCAGCTGATGCATTATTGTAAGCATCAGGTGGAATTTGTGAAGGTTTGTGCAATGTGTATGTATTCTAGACCAGTGTATGTACATGTTTGAATTTAGACTGTCAGATTAAGAAAGGGCTTCTGTACAATAAAAGCAGCATATATTACATCGTGTTTGTTCTCATTCTGCATGAACACATCAGTAAAACACTATATATCACTCACATCTTGGTGGTTCACCTACACAAGAGAGGAAGGCCATAGTCAACACAACTACCATATTTCCTCTGATAAGCGCTGCGTCTCTAATAAGTGCCGGCCTCCAATGGAAAAAGCAACTGTTCAAGAAATAACACTGGGTCTCTAATAAGCCACATGTTTACAATGGAGTTTTCAAATACAATACCAATGGAGAATCTATATTTATTTCCATTGAAACTTAACTCAATAAGCACCACAAAGGGACACAACTCTGCACATGGATTGCACTGCCGCAAGACAACTTGTCTCTTCTTTATACCATATTTGTTGTTTGACGCAAGTCAACAATTTTCCAGTAATTTAATGGTGGTCTGTAAACAATCCAGCATGGACCAGACAATCCTGTGCTTGACATTATGAATACTGAGCCAAGCAATTCGGATTCAATGACATGCTTTAACCTGATAAGTCCCAAGAGGATCAGCTTGACACGTCATCGTATCCCAATTGCGTAGATCGATGCTCATGCTGCTGATCACTGGATTGCCTGGTCCAGACTCGATTATTTACAGAGCGCCACCATATATACTAGCCACATAAAGAAACTGTGCATTGTGCATTATCCCAGTTGATAAGTACGATAACAATGTCAAAGGTACATATGAACTTTAATGGAGGGATCATGAGACCATAAGTCGGGAGAATTTCAATTGAAAAGTCAATCACAATGACGTCACGAGTCCACAAGCGGGACAGGGGTCAAACGTCCATGTCACAAGCTCAATAACGGGTTTGTCCACCATCGGCATTGAGAACAGCAGTGCATCGACGACGCATAGAGCCTATCAATCGTGCAAGGAAGGCTTGTGGGATGTCACGCCAGATTATCTCAAGTTCTGTTGCAAGGTCAAGGACGTTATCTGGCGGATGAGGAAGACAGCGTAGACGTCGATCCATCTCGTCCCAAACATGCTCTATCGGGGAGAGATCCGGTGAATTTGCAGGCCAGGGCCATGACGTTGCAGAAAAGGAATTGCCACAGGTCGAAGAATCTGATCCCTGAATCTGATCCCACACCAGTTACGTTGCCCTGAACAATCACCAAAGGAGTTCTTTGGCGTGCTGTTATTCCACCCCAAATTATCAAGGAACCACCACCACCAAAGCGATTCCTCTCCAAGACATGTATAGGCACGTTGACGTCCATCACTATGGGAAATGTTAAACCTGGATTCGTCTGTAAAAACATTTCTCCTCCAAAACAAGGGTCTGCGGACATGATTTCGGCAAGTTTGTCGATGACGTTGTGTCAGGATAGGACGTCGTGGTCTGATCCCGTGATGACGTAGACGTTGTCGAACTGTGTTGGGGTGGATACGGCGATGTCCTGGGATGGTTCGGGCAGTCATCACTGCAGTCTGAAACCTGTGGCGAAGATGGGTCACCCTTATCCATCTGTCCTGTCTTGGCGTTGTTGCACGTGGACGTCCAGAACATGGCCGATCGATGACGTCATTTGTGTTCTGGTAGCGTCTCACCAGTGCAGAAATGGTGTTCCCGTGCCAGTGGAAATGTGCAGCCACTGTCATTGAGACATTCCCAATGGCCTCATGACGTGCATGTGAGCCTAAGGCTATGTGTTTCAATAGCCGTTTAATTTTTTGAATGATCGCAAGGGCAGGGGTTGAGCTTTCAAAAGTAACAGTATTGTGTGGCATTCATTTGCTCTGTTTCTTTCCCGGAATGCATGTGCAACAACGTATTGCACGTCTCAAGGACGAACCCACTGACGTCACAGAACGTGGCATGTGCATGCTAGTTGGATACATGTCACTAATCTCTTAGTTTTAATCCTCATGTGTCTACACAGGTTTGATCAATTTAGATTTTAAATTTTTGTATGCACAGTTTCTTTATGTAAGTTACAAAGTAAGTGTCCCCCTTGCATGTCGTGTACAAAAGCAATGACCCCCTCTCTTCCCATAATATTTAAGCTGGTATAGCTGGCATATTGCAGAGTGCAGTGTTAAACAACCAACCAAACAAACAACACAATCAAGTTAGTCACCTCTTACAAGTTTGAGTTACTTTCTACAATGAACCCTGTGCAGTCACCTCAGTCTTTCAGAGTGCAGTATCACCATTTCCATCCAGTCATGGAGCGGAGATCAGTTCATGGCTCTGTGAGCCTTATTTCCCTGATCCTGGAATAACCTGATGGGCCACTTCATATGAAATATAATCCCGGTAGACAGTGATGGGGCAGTTTAATCTAATCCAGGTTAAGTTTGATGGGCCACACAATTAGATCAGCAAAAGGTGATCATGTAAAAGGTGATCCAAGTGCAGACTTGCCCACCCCCTTTTAAAGAAAATAGTAAGATCAGCTAAAAACATAGTAAGGCATGTTAATGTCAAGAAATAAAGGAAAAACATTGCTGGTTAAAATCTTAATACATGTATAGTGTTTAATAGTAACATGTGTCGATCTAATTAACGTTTTTTGAAAGTCTTTCACTTTGAAATAAACTTTACCACCACTGTAAGATGCAAAGTTTATTGACTTATGTTTATGATGCGACTTCTTTTTTCCAGTACTTTGTGTACCGTAAATGACTCTATAAATAGCATGGGCACGCCTATATCTATAGTACTGTCGGAAATAGAAAAAAACTGTTTTTAGGCTGTTACTCTGTATCCCTAAAATTTACACAATTGCAAATAGCATATGTCGAAATAACCCACTGCGGCCTAACTGGGCGTTCAGTGGGATGCGTAATACGATATCCAGAAAAGCATGTTTACTCGTGAAATCGGGCAAAACTTAGAAAAAAACCTAAATAGCTGCTGAAAACAATAGGTCAGACTGTAGATGACAATTAGGTCGCTCAGCCAGGTATGACTACGGACCATCGACTCACCTGGCATGAAATGTACGTGCTGCCTACAGGCACAAGGGGTCAACTCAAAGATATTTTGTGCTTTTTCTTGTGTGTTGACTATGTCTCATCTATTGATTGACATCTAAAGTGTCTTTCTTTCATATAGTTCATGTTGAGATATGTAAGAGTATGAAACCCGAAAACCATAGAAACGCATCGTAGTATATAGCTGGCATGACCACCCGAAGATCAAGAGGACTTGATATTATTTGTTAATTGTTATGACGTGCCGTGTACCTCCCCAATATAATTGCCCTAAAGGATTATCTTATCTTCGCTGATATCTCTATCCCCAAGCCCCAACCCATGTTTTGCTTTTGAGACGACCCCCTGCTATCTGTTTCTTTTTATAGTGACAGTGAGACTGCATGGTAGCTATATCCTTAATAGTTTCAGCATAAAAGTTATTATTTTTTACGTCAGCTATCGTTTATAATGAATCTACGTCTAATTTCAAATTGGGCATTTAAAAAGTGTCCTTTGTAATACAATAGCGTCGCACACTAATTTGCATAAAGCCATGGTCTGTTCCAAATAAGTCTTTTTGGACTTAGAAAAAAACCGCATTGCTCATTTCTGCACTAATTTCCCCTCAGTAAAGTCCCTTTTCTCCGTTTCCTATCTCTCTACCACGGAGACTGTAGTTAGGCCGAACATAGATTAACAGATATTTCACACTTTCACATATCAACTACATAAATTGTAGAGATAAATGAGAAAATACAGTTTTTTCTATTTCTGACAGTACTTTAGTATTCTACCATTTATTTGTAGAAGTCGTAAGGAATGTCAGTATGACCGTAAGGTCGTAATTTAGCACCAAAAATAGTAAGCCTCACGCCAAAATCGTAAGGATAGGCAAGTCTGCAAGTGGTATGTGTGATGTGTGATGTGCTGCTCAAACTGAGAGAAAACTGTACTGTAATCACAAGTTCAAGATGCTTACAAAGCTTAAAGATGACTGCTAACAGAAATCTGGCAGCAGATCCATAGCAGGGTACTGTTGTTAAAAACCTTAGGGCAGAGACTACCCTAAGTCTATGTTAAGGTTTGGGAGTTTCGGTCACCTTAGCCCTAAGATCATTTTGTACAAGGGCACGAAGGATTGTAACCGTGTTTAAAATTCAACAATTAGTGCGACCAAATTTTTTTTCTCCCTTAATTGAAGCACTCAGCACTTTTGAAATCAGTCAGTAATCTTGAGAATGGTTTGTTTTCACTTTGTAGTATAATCATACATCATCGATAAATATATTATTGTGTATTTTGTAATTCTGTATAAGTGGCAATGTCTGCACTCTGTAAGCCACCTTCTAATAGACTGAGCGGGTATGGTTTTTCACTGCTATTAGCTATATTCCAGCAATATCAAGACGCGGACACCAGAAATGGGCTTCACACACTTTACCCATGTGGGGATCAAACTCAGGTCATCGGAGTGATGAGCAAACGCTTCAATTAGTTTGGGTACCCCTGCCCTGTAATTCTGTGCAAGTGGCAATGTCTGTACTCGGTAGCCACCTTTTAATAGAGAGCAAAATTACAACAAACGCTTGTTACTGCTAAGCACATGTTTATTACATGCACATGACCAAGTATAATTTACAAACGACGACCACGGCGACCTCCCTTTCTTCTGGTGCTGTCGGAGGGGGATGGGAGTAACATCCTCTGGAACATAAATAATGTCAATATTTAAATCCTGGTGGTTCATTCAAGAACTTGTCATACTGTATTTGACGTATTAAACACCACGCTCACGGAGTTCCCATATAGTTGAATGAACTGGGCTTAACACCATTTTGTACAGTATTCCACAACTAATTCGGCAGCTTAATTCGGAGGTATGCTGAAAGTGACGGAGACGTCCGACATTTACCACTTGCGCAACCCACTAAGATGGAAATGGTGCTGACAAACCCAGAACCATAACAGCTGAACCAGGATTTAAACCCACACCCTATGTACCAAGTGGTCTTTACATAGAAACTGTGACATCGTAGATGATTGGACCATCAACGCTCCCTTCTAGGCCAAGTCATCTTAATAAATGCAAAGTACCAGATCCAAACATGTACATGATAATCAGCATTTTCTTGATATACAGTCGAGCACTGTTGTCTCGATATTCATGGGACCAAGAAAAAAATGTAATTTTTTGAGTAAAATTGATATTTTATACTTATCCTGACTCATGCTCTTTTGCTTGTCTCCTTCCTCTTGCGAACATAGTGGAACACTTGTATCTCCCTAATTGAAGTTCCCTTCAATGTAAAATCACTAATTAGTACACCACGAGTTACCTCCCTTCCACAAGCGCGGGAACGAGGGCGCCACCTCTACCCATGTGCCTCACTCTCTCCTCATATACTGAGCCCAACATTTGAATTTACAGGAAATCCAAAGTGTTATTTGGGGGAGGATGGGAGGGCTGACCTCATGAGTCAGGATAAGTATAAAATATCAATTTTACTCAAAAATTACATATTTTTTCCTTATCCTGACTCATGCTCTCTTGCTTGTAGAATCCAACAGAGCGGAGGTGGGAATATATAATACTTTGGATTTTAATAATTAGTGATTTGAACTGTGATGATTGTAATAACCCTATGAGAACTTCATAAAGGCATTGAACTGATGAATTCCTGCTGCCAGCTTATCAGCTGCCATATAGAGGTTATTACAATGTACTATTATGATAAGTATATATAATATTAATACAATGCTTAAGACTAATAGACTTAAGCTTGTTAATATGCTAGTATAAACTCCTTAGAGTTTGTTAGCTAAAATACTTTAAGATATAAACATAGCACTAAGCTTAAAATATGATTAATTTTAAGCTAATTATATAATAACAAACCTCTTTAGGGTTTGTTAGTTAAAATATTTATATGATATAGACAGTGCTGAGCTTAAGATATGAATAAGCTTAGCTATATATATAACAGCAAACTTTGTAGAGTTTGTTAGCTAATACATTTTTACAATATGAGTATAGTATTGTGCTTAAGATATAATTATCTTAAGCTACATATATAATAGCCAAACTTAGTAGAGTTTGTTAGCTAATATATTTTTACAATATGAGTATAATACTGTGCTTAAGATATAATTAACTTAAGCTACATATATAATAGCCAAACTTAGTATAGTTTGTTAGCTAATATATTTTTACAATATGAGTATAGTACTGTGCTTAAGATATAATTAACTTAAGCTACATATATAATAGCCAAACTTAGTAAAGTTTGTTAGCTAATATATTTTTACAATATGAGTATAGTACTGTGCTTAAGATATAATTAACTTAAGCTACATATATAATAGCCAAACTTAGTAAAGTTTGTTAGCTAATATATTTTTTACAATATGAGTATAGTACTGTGCTTAAGATATAATTAACTTAAGCTACATATACAATAGCCAAAAACTCTGTAGAGCTTATTAGCTAATAGATTTATAATGTAACCATAGTACTAAGCTTAAGATATGATTAGACTTAAGCTAAATGTATATAACAAAAAACTCCTTAGAGTTTATTAACTAATATACTTTTATGTTATAAACATAGTACTGAGCTTAAGATATGATTAAACTTAAGCTATATATATATAATAGTAAAACTCCTTGAGAGTTTGATAGCTAATACATTTTATTATGTTGATTTAGACCTAGTATTGAGCTTAAGATATGAAGTAAACCTTAAGCTAAATATATAATAGCAAAAACCTTTTAGAGTTTTAATAGCTAATATACTTATATGGTATCAACATAGTATTGAGCTTAAGATATGAAGAAACCTTAAGCTACATATGTATAGCAAAAAACCCCGTAGAGTTTGTTAGCTAATACATGATATAATGTAACCATAAAGCTTAAAATATGATGAAAACTTAAGCCCAATATATAATAGCAAAAAACTCTTTTAGAGTTTTGATAGCTAATATACCTATATGCTATAAACATAGTACTGGCTTAAGATATGAATAAGCTTAAGTTACATATATAATAGCAAAAAACTCCATAGAGTTTGTTAGCTAATACATGTTATAATGTAACCATATTGCTTAAGATATGATGAAACTTAAGCCAAATAGCAAAAGCTCTTTAGAGTTTGTTAGCTAATATAGTTATATGATATAAACATAGTACTGAGCTTAAGATATGAATGAGCTTAAAGGTCACATGCAACGTAAAACACAACTTTGCAGATTCTGATACCTTTCGGTATTGACTTACCGAAACAAATCATCAAAAATGCAAATTCAACTTATAAAGTTGAAAAATAACGCGATGAAAAAAACCGCTTAAATCGGAGTTCAAACGTTTCACTACTTTTCCCCAGACTTTTCTGGGAATACGGTTTCAACAGCTGGGCTGTGCTCATAGCACGATGCGCGAGTGAAATAGGTTCGGCACTTAACTTGGAAGCGGGCTGTCTGGTGAATACTTTCGGTGAAGGCTTTGGTGTGAGCTATTTTCTAATGTTTTGTTGATATCTCTCACAGGCCTGAAGCTTTTATATGTTATGACAGTAAATAAACTGTTTATATAATTTCATTTGTCTATTTCACCACACGGTCTTCTTGCGAGTCACTTTCTCAGTTCGATACTTTAAAAGCAATGTCATTATTTAGCGTTGACACAATTTCTAACTGTGATATAGATATGTCGCTGTCACAGACAAAACTCAATGTCTTGTTTTATTGACACCTGTGTGTCTGCCTGCCTGTCCGCTAATGACAATACTCAATACACAACTGCGATCACTGACCACATGCAATTTGAACTTAACACCAATCAGGCTATACACCATAAACAAAACGCGCATTGATTTATGGCCCGAGTTCGGTCTCAGTCACATTATGTAATTACACAGACAGGCAGGTGTGATACTTGAACACATGACATGTTATGATGTCTGTTGATTGCAAAATGTTATACATAAAAATGAGCATGTATTTACAAAACCCAACATCTCTATATATACACACACAATGACCCGCGAAAGGCGGCATCTGCTAATGAACCAACCGTTACACTTGAGTGCACACCCACCCACCTCTGACTGGGTTCGTATCCCGGCTGCTTCGTTTCGAGGGAGTAAACCCAAGTACAAAATATTGCACTTTTGATTTGCGATTATGCGCTTATAATTTTGTTTATTTGTTTTTTCATAATCAGCAATGCATATTATATGTCATGAAGAAGTGATAATTGTGTTTTAATTATGTTTGATTTTTTGGTTGCATGTGACCTTTAAGCTACCTATATAATAGCAAAACTCCGTAGAGTTTGTTAGCTAATGTATTTTTACAATATGAGTATAGTACTATGCTTAAAATATACTTGACTTAAGCTACGTATATAATAGCCAAAAAAAACTCTGTAGAGTTTGTTAGCTAATGCATTTATCATGTAACCACTGTGATGATAAAAAACGAGCTTAAGCAAATTATATATAGCATGAAGCTATTTAGTACTGTTATAAGATAAGTAAAAATCTGTAAGATTGACTTATCTTCTCCGAGGAACTGTCAACTGTTGTGCAAGGACCATGGGATCGAATTGGTGGATACCTGAGATGTCCTCGGTGGTGATATCTCTCAGATAATGGTTGGCAACCACCATATATCGGATCTACAGTAATAAGCCCTCCATTATTTCAAATAACATTTGTGTAGATGAAATTGTAGAAGTTAGGGCTCTAATATCAAGAGTATTAAAGCTCATGGAGGGTCGGATTAGGTCCATCTGTCTTGTATGCACGTAGTATGACAGTTCTGATCCAAACGGAGATATAGTACGTGAGACTACACTCTGCGTAAGTTGATGATAGAGGAAAAAAATCTGTTGTATATTTTCTTCCTGTTTGGTTTGGTGGAGATAAATTTACAGTGCTCTTGCTGGCCAGCGTGATAGCATCATCGTATCATGGAGTCCAAGTATGTCATCCAGGCATGTTCATAAACCTCACTTGTGAGGTGTTGTAGCACTATATTCATATCCCCAAGTTGGTAATGTGAAACTTCCGTTTATTCTCCAAACAGAAACTTAGTAGGTTTACTAACCATCTAGTTGTGTTAGTAGCTTGATGATGAAATTCAGGTGTAGTCTGAAACGCTGTGGATTTCGATCCACTTGTATCCACGTCGTCTCAGGTAAATCGTTGCGATGTCCTTGTGATGTATGTATGTCTAACAACCGGGTTTGTGTCCTCGATGAACTTTATGTAAAATGTCGCCTGACTGCTGTGCCCTTGTCTAAACTTGACAGGGAGGTCTCTAACCTGAAGAAAGCAGCCTAATCATGAAGGTTCAGGTTAACTGGGCTGTAAGGAGGCTTGCTCGTTCATTGATATAAAAGTTGTCACTTGCAACCTATGTCTTGAACTGTGAACTATGCTCGACCTCTGTGTAGGCGTTGTTCATCGGGGTCCAATCAGAATAAGGCATTTTGATTCTGTAGAGTACCAGCTGTGATGTCACGGTGTAGCAGGAAAAGGAACCTTGTATAATATAGTGCGTCGTTGATATTAGAACAATCATCGGTCTTCATCGTTAACTTCCCGAAGTTACCCGAGTGACCACGTGTTTCGAGGGATTAATGGTAAACGCTGCGAAAGCTTCATAAAAATACCTTGCTCTGTAATATTAATGCTGGGTAGGTTATTTTCCTGGCTGTCGTGAAAGTACTTCAGTTTTGAATATAATTCCGACTTCTTTATATATAAAGGTACAATAACTTGTAAGTTGTCAGCTTGTAGACTGTATACATGAATGTATCGTCATAATTGTAGAATTAAAGCTGAATTTGTTGTACATATTTCTTCTCAGAAATGTTGACGATTATGAGTTATACTACGCTGTAACAAGGCTGCTGTTCAATTTCGATATTGAATTGTCTGCAGATATGCGTAATGGTCGCATGTAGATAATGTCGATATCGTCGTCCGGGATTGCATATACTAGCAATTTATACGGAATAGTTGATTCTGTGAAGATCTATGAAGCGTCGTTGACAAATTAATACAGCGGCGTTCTGTGTTGTAAATAGCCTGTGCAATTGTCTTCACGTAGGCTTATAGGCTGACATCTGGCATACAGTTGATAGACAACTTATCGCGATGTCTTGAAACGGACTGAGGAGTAGCTATATATGGCGAGTGGCTAGTATATGGAGACCTTTGAGGAGACTTCCTCGGTGAACGCCGGAGACTTCCGCTGAAGCTCTCGGTATCCTTCTAGATCTACTGGTGAAGTAGACTTGGAGCCACTTAGCCTTGCGACCTTCGAAGGTATCGAGTCAAGTCCGATTAGAATATATATATATATATATATATATATATATATATATATATATATATATATATATATATAAAACTTGCTTCGAATGGCCTCTGTGTTTAACAGGATGTGGGGTCGTGGCGCTACTCCTCCTTGGCGTCCTTGTAGCTGGTGAGGCTCTAGCTCCTTCAGCGAGGCTGCCTGGGACTTGCTGGTTCTGCATAAGTAGGGCCGAGTGGATCATCTTATCATTTTCAGAAGTGGGTGTTCACGAAATCTGGTGATAAGTGTCTCAATGATCGTTCTAGATCTATTTAGGCCAATCGAACATACGTCCTCGTCATGGATTCAACTGAACCAATTTACGATTGTAGTTCTTATTGTTGATATCGATGATCAACTTGTAGTTTTCATCGATGTCTTAAGCCTTGAAGAAGGGGTCCATGTTGTGCGTGGAAACTTCTAGGCGTGAAAGTTCGGCAATTATGGTGTCTGAACTTTGTGGCTTTATGGGATGCTATGTCTAGATTCTGTGCTACCGCAGCAATGGGCTCGTCGGAGAGTAGGGTGATAGCATCTCGCGTCGTCTTCCTTTCATCAGGTATGTCTGCGTCGTACTGCCACTCTAAGAAGGTGATGTAGACTTGTGTGCAGACTTGTGTGGTAACCTGTGAGGCGTCGATGTGGTGATGTGCGAGGAGATCGGGAGACTATTGACAGCCAGCGAAGCTCTTGAGTAGTCCCTTGACTCTGTTAAATGGCGATCTATATTCGGTGTCCTTCCCGAGTGCCTTCAGCGAATGCCTTCGCGAACGCCTTCAGCGAGCATGTAGCGAAGCTTCCTCTGCGTTCGGTTGCTGGGGAGCGGCGATTTGAGCTTCGCGAAGGCTTCCGTGAGGTCTGGTGGCTGAGTCTGCATCTAAGGATGAAGCCGAGGAATGTGATGATCTATCCGCTTGGCGAAGGCCTTGAAGGCTGTACATCTGGGTCCTTCCGTCAAGGTGGTCTGCGACTTCCTTCAGCGAAGGCTGCATCGTCTTGGCTGCTCGTTGACTGGAGGTGCCTCTAGAGTGTTGTCTAAGTTGGAGCCTTCGCGAAGGCTCCGTACTCTGGGCTGGCTGCTTCTCCAGTCTGTAGTGACCCTCCATCACGACCATGATTTGCCGTAGTAGCTTCGTCTGGGATGGTCTGCGGACGAAGTAGTCGGTGCCATCTCTGCGCTGTTAGTGGTGGGGCCCTCAGGTAAGTCGTCTGACATCAGTGTAGAGACATCAGGCTGCATGGCGATCTCTGCTGATGTCATTGTAGCTGTCACCGGTCGCTACTTGTCTCATCGTCGAGGATGATGATGATGCTGATCATCGTAGAGAATAGGATTCAGCGGCTGGAACAATCTCGGTTGAAAGTCCTAGTAGACTTCGTTGAATTCCCCTCAGAGGTCGGCGCTGCCCTGGGGTCGAAGTCTGCGTTGAGTGTTGGTAGCGGCGGGACCCTCAGGAAGATCATCGAATGTTGATCTGCGCTGACATCACTGTTGCCGACATCAGTCATTCTTTGATGTACATCAGGAATGATGATCGGCTGATCATCATACAGGCCCAAATCTGCGATGAGAACAATCTCGGCTGAGAAAGTTCTAGTAGACTTCGTTGAATACCCCTCAGTCTTGGCGAAGGGATGTCTGGGGAAGCAGGGCGCTTCTTGGGCGGCGGACTTCGTCCCACGCCTCTCCACCATTCTAGCGGAAACCCAGGCGGGAGGGTCGACCAACAGCAGTAGACTGGCGAGGGTTCAGGTGTATCAGTCATGCTAGACTCTGCATCGTGACCTATCTGCTGCGCGTCTCAAGCGCAAAGTAATTATTTATTAAAGGTAGAATTGGATAAATTAGTATCGCTTAACTGCAACGTGAATCACATGAAACATGGCGCGGTACAGCTAGGGCATATTAAATGCGGATCAGCAGCAGAATAAAAAGCGTAATGTGCAACAGTACAGAATTTTTATCAACGTAATCCACTGCAACAGCACGGCGTCCCGTGCATAAACAGTAGAAACGACTAAATATCAATATATAATTGTTGAAAGATACTAGCTAAACCTCTATAGATCTCTATCTGAGGTAACTAACTAAATATAATCAAAGGATATAGTGTGTCCGGGAGACACAGGAGCTCTCACGTCCAGCTCACTGGGCGAAGAAGGAGAGAGTGAGGCACATGGGTAGAGGTGGCGCCCTCGTTCACGCGCTTGTGGAAGGGAGGTAACTCGTGGTGTACTAATTAGTGATTTTACATTGAAGGGAACTTCAATTAGGGAGATACAAGTGTTCCACTATGTTCGCAAGAGGAAGGAGACAAGCAAAAGAGCATGAGTCAGGATAAGGAAAAATTATTGAGTTATCCGAACTTCGAGAATCCGACCAGGGCATATCAACACATACCATTTAGAAACAACAACTATCACATGTTAGTTGTGTGATTACACAAAACCCTCACTGTATTCTCAGTATGTTTTGATTCGAAACTATAATCCGTTATCAGTCGTGTTTAGTTGTAACAATAATTCCTTCTTAATTAATCCTAATTAAACAAGCTTTGTCACTAAGGAGACATAATCCCCCACCGCAAATGATCAAATCAACCTTAAAAAGTAATGAAAGTTTAAGATGAAGTTAAATGTCAACAAAAACATGACCAGTCAACCTCTCTTGATACCTTGTCTTTAGTTGTTCAAACACACAAATATTTTCAAGACAGACTTTGACCTTGACATGAATGTCATAGTGTATGAAATATGCAAAAATGGTACTAAAGAAATTGCTTATTGAAAAACATTCAAGGGAAGTCTTGAAAGTCTTTGAAGAAAATCCAGTGATTTCAGGTTAACATGCTGAAATCTTCAAAGTGTCGCAGAGACCTTGAAAATTAAGTGAAGGTCACCAAAAACGACTGGGCCCTGCACTTTCCCTAGATAAAGCTTGGTGTTGAATATGAAGAAAACCCAGTAAAGCGGTTCTTAAGATAGCTTAACATGCAGGTTAACATGCTGAAATCTTCAAAGTGTTGCCATGACTTTGAAAATTATGTGAAGGTCACCAAAATAGACTGGGCCCTGTGCCTTCCCTAGATAAGCTTGGTGTTGAATATGAAAAGAATCTAGTCAACGATTCTTAAGATATTCTAATTCGTACGGACGGACGGAGCCTAATATTATATCCCCCGTGATAATAACAAACAAGTGATGCCTAAAACTCAATTAGCCCAAATTAGTGTACTCTACCGCATCCCTTTGATTCATGCCGCACCGTGTGCAAACGTGTAGAAACAACCACAGTTCAGAGCGATACTTGCCCATGAATAGGGTTTCTCTGCAAATATCAAGTTAAAGGGGTCATTTCGCATGTTGGGACCATGAAATTCTATCGAGATATGCGAAATATTGAGACATCCGTATCGAGTTAAAAGAGCTTGCATAATGATATGTTATGAAGGATTTTGCCAGGACTGAGATGTTATATCAAAACAACTGAGATATCGAGTTATCAGAGTTCGACACAACGGTGCTCAGCTGTATATTAGACTTTCTAAAGGACATGAACAGTAAGTCAGACAAGCAATATCATGGCAGGGCACACCAGAAATATGCTTCAAACATAGTACCCATATTGGGAATCAAACACTGGTCTTCAGCTTCATGAGAGAACACTTCAACCAGTAGGACACCCCATAACCCCCAGGAAATCAATAGTGTAGAAGTAAGCGGTGGTCCGATTAAAAAAATATCGATGATTGGTCGCAGTGACTAAACGACCAAGCAATTGATCATGTTTTCTCATAATGGAAAACAAATAATTTCAGAACACTTGTTTGCATTAAAAACATTTACATGAGGTTGGTTTTATCTGTCATTAAATTTACATTTCATAAGCACTACAAGCTCGTTTCAAGTCATGAGTAATTCATCTTAAAGAAATTTATGTTCTTAACATACTAGTCATCCTTTAAAGATGTGAAATTTGCAATGGCATCTTGTGCAAATTGGCAAAAAAAAAGCCAAAAGAACTACATATTTTTCGTTATCTTTTTGTGCATTAACAACCATAACAGGAAAATTTGATAAATGATGCTAACCAATTATTTTCGATGATTGATCCATTGTAATGAGATTTTCAATTATGAGATTTTAACCAATTGCTAACACTAGTAGAACGTAATAATCTATCAAGAAAACTTCTGATCATTCTGGACAAGTCTGGAATTGGTGGGACAAATTCAGCTTTGAGGTTGACTATAGTTGCACTGATTGTATTTTATTTACCGATTCTTCCGATCTTCATACCGGAACGAGCCAGAGCTCGGAGAGCAGACTGAGCTCCAGGGCCAGGAGTCTTGGTCCTGGAAAACAAAAACAGGGTTTGTTGCACTGTGATGTTCAACGCTAAACCCTGTCAACTAACAGACATCGTGCCCCTCAGTTTGAAATCACTTCCTAAATGATATGCCTTGTAGAAAATCATTCCACAACTCCTTATGCACAAATCACAATGGCAACTGACTTCTTGTAATCTAACACTGAAGGCAATACTGCTATTATACGCTTTCCTTTTGTATATACTTTGATATACTTGTTCTTGCTCAATAATTATATGTATTTACTTGTTCCAATCACTGTTCCAACAATTTTTAATAACTCAACATCATATAACACTGTACAACGTACCTTCTACGTATTTATTATTCAACAATAAGTGTCTATGTCCTTACACCTGCTCCACATCATTACCATTGACCTGACCTGCCTCATTTCAATGTCTGCAATGGTATTTCTTGCTATTTGACATAATCAATGAACCCAACTTTTCAAGGACAGTAACAAAGAAACTGACACAAAGATGGTTGAAATTTCTCCTTGCATAATAAACAGACTGAAATTTAAGTCAAAGGGACACAACCCAACTGTTTAACAGTTATCTCCCTTGGCATGTCACTGAAAACTTTCCAAAATCCAACCTAAAAATGTTTAGAGAGGACTTAATCTGCAGTACTGCAGGAGAATTTTACTGCATGATAAATTACCTTGTACATGTCAATACTTCATTACTTTCAGATATTTGTCTCATCCAAGCAACAAAGCACAATTTAAATGCTACTGTACAGTTATGTTATGAGTACATTTACCTTTTAAAGATATCTTGGCATTATTCATCAAAATGAAAATGATACATATCAGCATTCTTTCATACTTAAAATCAATAGTGAAGTATGGATGTGAATCATCAATGTTTTACATGATAAATTTCTATTTTATCACAAAGATGGGCTTAATTATATACTTAATTACTTACACTGCTAAAAAAAAAATTGATAAATTGCATTCAATAAAAATTCACTCATAGTGATGTGGCTTGCATGAGTTCTGAATAATGCTACATTTGATAGTGCTAGCCCACTGAGATACCATGCCAAGTATTACCATGGATAGCCCTCTCTTAGTAAAAAATAAATTCAAGCTAACCAGTCCTTGTCATACCCCAATAGTGTTGGGCACAAGGCTGGGCAAGAAGTCCATCATTTAACAACCCAGGGAAGGCGCATTCACAACATGACAGAACAGGGCTCCAGATAAGGGCCGTATTGGCGTATGTACAGATATAAAATAAACATGATACTGACGTCCTATATTGAAAAAATAAGGAGTATGTACTCCTGATCATGAAAAATTATCTGAAGCCCTGCAGAAGATGCACCAGCATTAGCATCGACCAGTGAACACCATACCTGTTTCCTCCAGTGGCCCTCAACTTAATGTGCAGAGCAGTGATACCGAGATTCTTGCACTTCTCAGCAACGTCCTGTGCAGCCAACATAGCAGCATAGGGGGAGGCCTCGTCTCTGTCAGCCTTCACCTTCATTCCTCCTGTCACACGTGTGATCGTTTCTCTGCATCACATAAGATAAAAAATATATTCATCATAGTTCAAAAAGGTCTAAAAAAAAGTATGCATAGTGCTTATTACCCACTACCAACAGAAAAATGAATTAAGAGGCCTATCACCATAGAGACCAACGGGAAAAAGGTCCTAGTAAGACATCTAATAACTCTTCTAGACCATAGAGCTTAATGTGTCTGAAGATAACTTTCTCAGGGCTACCACTATAAAACCAGTAAATAACAATATTTTGGTTTGATTCTCCACAGGATTTCCTGTTGGCACATTCTCTAGTTGTAAAACATTGACTGGTTGTGTTGCAGGACATTGACTGTTGTGAGCATGTAGTATGTTCACCATGAGGTGAAATGGATTTCTGTATCATGTTCCAAACTATGTTGCTTAACCAGTGAAGTGTAAATGTGGGGATTCCAGCTTAGAACTTCAAATTCAATCCAACCAATGACAGTTTTAAGAGGTAACAAAATGGATCAAGTTGTCAAGTTTGGTGACTTGGCATGTCACTGTTTCACCCTATGGCAAGGATTGCTGCTCACAATATCGATCACTATATCTTCTGGTTCTGGCTCGATTATTTACAGCTTAGGTCAATGGTTCCAGTATTGCTCGAAAAATGATGAAAACAGCTTCTGCTTAGTTCAAGTGTTCTACTTCGGGACATCACACTAGGACACAATGTACAGTGAATGAGTGAGTGAGTGAGTTTAGCTTTATGCCGCACTCAGCAATATTCCAGCTATATGGCGGCGGTCTGTAAATAATCAAGTCTGGACCAGACAATCCAGTGATCAACAACATGAGCATTGATCTACGCTGTGGGGAACCGATAACATGTGTGATCCAAGTCAGCAAGCCTGACCACCTGATCCATTAGTCGCCTCTTACGACAAGCATGGGTTGTTGAAGATCAATATTCTAACCCAAATCTTCACAGGTCCACACTGTACAGACTCAGCGGCCAATATCTTTGGCTTATCACATTTACAGTGTGCCAGACAAAGTACATTTTAAGTACCATATTTTGGGGTCTTTTTGAAACACCATGAATTAAACTATCAACCTTCCGTCGACAAGTATGCTACAACTTATAATGGGTAACTTTATCAGGTGGTACTTTTATACTCACTTTCCAGACAGGTCAGTAACATGGACAAATGTGTCGTTGAAGCTAGCATAGATGTGTGCTACTCCAAACACATTTTCTCCTTCTTTAGCTTGGGGACCAAGTACAACTTGCTCCTGCTGTTGAGTCTTTCCTTTACGTGGAGCCATGCTAAAATTTATGTAACTTGTCGTTATTGGGGTTCTAATAAGAGCATAAATAGAAATGGCAATCATGTGGAAGAATGCATGATGAATAGATTATTTCACAATGGATTACTTTTTATCATTTAAAATATTCTGATCAATATGATAACATACTACTATTTTACCTTCTTGGACAAATCACTGTTTATAATTAATCAGGAAAGTCAACTGCTCCTTTCTTTACCTATAAATTGGAATGTTACAGGGAGTCCGAGTTTAGCATATTTAGACAAATAATCAGTGGACGTTTATCTGGGATATTTCATAAAAATTGTACTGAATTGATCAGTTGATGGCCAAAAATCATGGGACATAAAGGGGTTCATCAGAATGGTGGGGTGATTAAGGATACAGTAGCATATACAATCGTAACTAAACTGCGGACTGAAGACCCTCGAGAGATATATCAAGCAAGATCTCTGATTAATCAACACCTAATTTGATAGATAATCTGAGAGTAACTCCAACATACACTTGACCCTGCCAATTCGTTAGCTGAATGTTGCTACATTTTCAAAACCGGCTGTTCGCTTAGAAAGCAAGTGGATATGTTACAATTAGCAACATTATCAATGGATGACTGGTAATATCATCTATAAGAAACAGAACGTCCCAGAATAACAGGTTCAGAGGTAAAATATCAAGTCAATCTTAAAAATTTCACTAACGAAATTAGGGTACAGTTCTACAGTTCTCACACATCGTGACTTCACTATACTCAATAAGCAAAATATTTTGTTCTAGCCATCGGCACGGAAACATTTGGTAATCAATCTGACAATCAACGTCTAATTTATCAGACAGCCATTCTTAAGTGAAAAAATGTCGCATGATGGAGTCGATAAAATTAGGATTTCTCCCTATATTTTGGTTTTCACCTTGCGAGTCGCTGAAATCTCGCGGAAAAGGCCAATTCTCGCAGGTGCCCGAAGTAAAACGAGATTCTGATTCGTCAAATACCGGAAAAGGCCGAACCCTACCGATGTCGTTTGTTATTGTTGTACACTTCAACATGACCAGTCATCTAAAAAACCTCCGGATTTGACCTTCTTTCTATATTATACTGCGGCCTACCCACAGTAATAATAATATCTCCTGTTAGATATACCTTTCAACTTTACATATGGGTGGAATTTGCCTTGTTGATCGCTATATCTAAAAATCCCCGATAGTTTTGTCGGGGTAACCTTTTCTGTCGACCGTCTTAGGTTCAGCCGGGAGTAGTCGACAGAACAAAAACCTTGTTTTCATTTTCCCCGTCACTCTGAAACATCATGGACTTGATGTTTGACTGGGAATATGAAGGAGATAGGTTCTCATTTGAAGATAGCGACCGTTTTGAGGAGGATTCCCTCTGTTCCTGGCTAAGCGAGCCAGAAAGCCTGTGCAATAATTGGCGAGGTTGGAAAAGGCAAAATGGAGGGCAGACGGTTCCTAGCATTCGTGCACAGGGTGAGTAAATAATGTTGATTTCATCCTCTATCAGTAGATTTACATAAAAATACATGGTATGTTAGTATATTTGTCAAAAATAAAGTCCTACAATAGTCCCCAGAGGTTTGCAAATGAGAAGGAATTTTGCATGATAAGCCTAGCTGTCACCTAGTGTAAGCCTGTTGTAAATGGCTAATGATAAAGCAGGCTGTCTTCACAAAGAACATGTTGACTGTTTTAAGCAGAAATAAGATTGTTTTGCAGATTTACTGGATAAATAATGATTGTTGAAGGCATGAAATATGTTCACTTCCATGGAATCAAAAGCATTTGTGTTAGAATGCAATATGGTTGGGTTGAACAGACAAAACACACCTTATTTAGTCAGGATTGTGATCACCTCTTTACCTTGCAATTTTCAAAGGTTTGTAAAAAGGGTAACCTAAAACTGTTAAATGATATGTGGCATATGGAATTACAGCAATGGATGTTGCATAAAAAAGATATGATGGCATTTAGTTCTAGACGTCTACTTGTTGCTGGTAGAATTGTGAAAAAGAATTGTTGATTCTTTATGAAATGTTTACTTATTTTATCATTGATTATAGTAGAAATAGTGAGTATTCTTACAAATCATCAAGTTTGGTTATGGTAGTTATATCTTGCCCTAGATGTAAATTATATTATCTGTATATTTGGTATTCTTGTTACACATATGCTAAATCATTGCTTGAATCCATCAGAAAAATACGATCTTACTGAACTCAAGAGGCATGGCTACAAGATTTTTGCCTAGTACATTTTTTTCAGTCTTATAACTTTTTATTCAGTTTCTTAAAGCTGTCCAAGAATACCTGTTTTTATGGGCATGGTTACTTACAGTCAGCAATTTGTAAACAAATAGAATTATGCTAGTAAAACAAATGAAACCACCAGTAGATTAAAAATAGACATGCTCAGTCTTTCCTGAACTATATATTCCGAAAACAATGGGCTCTATTTGCATTTGAGCAAGGGTTGGTAAAGTGTCAGTTGTGAGAGAGCAAAGTAGGGCAGTTTGCTGAGGCGTATTGAAACCACATGAGGTTGAAGTGAACTTGCACTGGGGTCACAGAGGTCATGACAGAGAATAGCAGCTGAAGTGGACAAAGGTTTTCAATAACAAAGAGAATCAATGAAGTGTTTCTCAAATCCAGCCTGCAATAACTCAATCCTGTTTTTCCTCTCATATAACAGTTGTATAAGACCATGTACTGTTTTCATTGTTTCTTAATGATTCATCTCAGGGCACTGATAAAAGTATTGTTTTCCTGGTCCAGTTACTTAATTAGCATGTGGATGTTTATTATGGTGTTACATCATTAGTCATAATGTTACATACACGTGTAGGTAAGAATGCTGGGTCGTTACTTCATGTTGTGTAACCCTGGTCTTACCCAATGCCCCTTATCCCCTTCCCAATGTGCAATTATCCTCTTTGTATATACCAGGTCTATGGTATTGTTGAGAGTCATTAGTCGGGGGTCACTGACACCTGGGTCCTGTTAAAACTGTTAGAACCATTGCCTTCCCCATTGATTAATGTTAGCAGGCATCACTCAATTCTTGTCCACCACCCCCTGTGTTGAAGTAGCTGAAATTTTCATAATCATTAATATTCACCCCAAGCTTCATGCATCACAGTGACTAGTATTCTATGAAATATGCAAACCTCTCTGGCATGATCAGTGTTTAAAAATTCTGTGAACTTCAAAATGTGAATTTTTGAAGTTGTTGTTTTCAGCAAATTTGGATGCATCTGCTCAATCTAAATTAATCTAATGTTCAAACTTGTTAACACATCACATGACAAATCGATGATGGATCCCTTTGCTTCATTGCTTCTTTTCACTTGTCTTATATAAGGTAATAAAGCACAGAGTTTGTTGCCTTAGTACATTAACAATGTGTCAGCGATTTTATCTGAATCATAAAGGGCATAAATGGCCCAGTCGTTTCAGGTGCCTCAATTTGCTGTACAGAGTTGAGTCCCTGGGCAGGCCAGAAACCTGTGAACGTGGGTTGGAATCGTGGTTTGCCCTAGTTGCGTTTCTAGGTTTGTCAGCACCATGTCCATGTTGATTGATTTCATCGAAGTGATAAACATCTTAGACTAGCACCACTTCAGGCTTTCTCCCACATTAGCTCATACATGAAACAGAGTGGTTCTAAACCTCACTCATTCACTCACTCACTCAACCACTCATTCATCCAACCACTCACTTATCAACTCAACCACTCACTCACTTATCCACTCACACACATACACTCACTCAACCACTCATACACTCACTCAACCACTTACTCACTGTGCAATCATAACCTCACCCTGCCACATAGTCTTAATAAGTGGTCTTAGATAATTCTTTAGTTGGTAATGGCTTATCAAACTCCCTTGTGGCTGCTTGGTAGCAAATAAATAAACAGTTTATGTTCATAATGGACTCCCGTTTGTCTAACTTACTTTTGTCAGTTCCATGAACTATAAGTGCACCCTGTCCATTATAGGAAACTGCAAAAAATCAATCTTTGGTAACAGGATTTGTAATTACATGAAAAAAAATTGACACAATAGTTTGGACCACTCGTAAGGAACATGTGACAGGTGAAAATATCTTCAGTCTGTACTTCCAGACTGATGAGTACAGAAGTCCAGTATGTCGACAATTATTGCAGTAACTCAACCTGTGATTGAAGTGCATCTGTAAAACATTAGTCTTCAGAGACAGAGGTACAGATAAGCTGCGTATCTACATAAATTAGGCAAATATTTACTTGAAAACTCAATTCCTAATAAGTCTGTTGTGTACAAGTACACTTGAATTTTTGTAAACACTAAAAAATTTGATCTTACATGAGTGCCTACAAAAATGTCAAATCTTAGCTTGCGTACTGGTGAATTAGTTTCTGTCATGAAATCTACTATATTTTGGAGTAAGCAGACCCATGTGCTACAGATGGAGGTTACCGAGGATAGATAAAATAACTGAGGAATATTGAGAGGTTCTGTTTCGTTTCTCATATTACAGATCAAATATAAATAACAAACACGTAAACAAACATTTAAACTTTATTATAGTTTTACAATTAATGGAAAATGGCAAAATACCCAATTGGGTTTGAGTGAGGTGAGTTCAATTTATTTGGTTACTCAAAGGAAAATTAGGATACCCAATTGAGATGAACACAAGCGAGTACATAACTCAATGACCCAAAAAGTTATCTGTAGCTCTGAGAGAGTTTGTCAATTTGACTGTTAATAAATTTGACTGTTGATGTAAAAATGGAAGTGAATTCTCAACACTTATATGGTAACACTATTGAGATACAGTAAGTCTTTTTAACCCATAAGTCAAGAATGTGTGCTTCGAACAAAAGATATATTCTGAACTGTTTCCAGTTTCAAAAAAATATGACATGTTTTGAATTTACATTCTTGGAATAACTTGTTTATCAACACTGAAGTGCAAGATATTAACACCAGTGGCATTAAATACAGACAGTACCTGGATGGTGGTAAAAAGTATGGTGTTTATAATGCAACTTGAGAAAAATTTGAAATATTAGCATGGGGTATTCAAATTTGAGTTCAGAGACCTGAAAACAGATTTGTTTTATGGTCATGTGACATTTGATGACAGCTTAATATTTTCTGTTGTGTGATTAATAACTTACTTGAATGTTGAACAGTGTCTTTATTTTGTTGGGCTGTATAAAATAATGCTGCTGAGACTAATTGTTTGTCCTTAAGTTCCTTAGCTCACCCAATATTTAAATAAATTTACTAACATTGTCCCAGTGAAGGTCAAGGTCACTGGAATGGTCATTCTGAACATGTTCAGCTTCTTTTTGTTTGGCAAGAAACAATGTGGATTTACCTAGTTATTTAGTAAGTTTATAATCCCAGTATTGGTGTCAGGTATATTGAAATCATATTTGAGCTTCATACTTAAAGTTGCAGAAATTTAAAAATTTGTGAAATAATTTTTCAGTGATGGCTAAAGGGGAATGCTATTGCTCTTGTTAGTATATCATGTACAGCAAAACATTGGTAGAACAGTATGCTATAATAGAAAATGCACAAAAACTAGTATTATTAGAAAGCACAATGTCGGAAATCATACTGTGTGATATAAACCATTGTGAGATAGGCCAATTCTTTTTATGCTTATATGTAAGACCAACAAAACATAGCAGTCTAAAGGAAATAATATGTCCATTTTGGTGGTGTTTCTTAGTGTATGTGTTGCATACAAAATATATAGTGATGAACTTAATGAAACCAGATAACACATGCCAACACCAGATAGTCTTTTACTAGTAGCACGAGTGAGGGGTGAGTGAGTGACACATATACATTGTGTATACCTTAAATAGTAACCTGTATGTTGTTCTCAACTGTCATCAGTCACAATTTCAATCTCCAATTTTCCATGATTTGTCATTGTTTCCAGGCCATTGACCCCTGAATAAATAAATGATTAATTTTTCAATCAATATAGGAAAATGCCCTGCCAAACATTTCCTTTCACAGTTAATGGATCACTTTGGCTTTAATATGAAGCTCTGAGTATCAACTTATGAAAAAGGGTAGATAAAAATCTTATTAATCTAATGCTATCAACATCATGAGAAACAATGTCTGCAAAAGTTATCCTCATTTATGATTTATTGTTTAAAGATTATTTTTAACTCCTAAGGTAGCAAGATGAAACTATAAAATGTTGTTGAACAATTAAACAAGGATAATGCTAGACCTGGCCCACCTTCCCTACATGAGTCACTGACCCAGGATCTATTAATAGGATTAATATATGCCACAAATAGTCTTTTAGCTCCTAACCTGAAATTGTAACGGTGGACTGAACATGCTGAAGTCAGTGTTAAATATTTACTTGTTGCACTACAGTGCACAATAAGCACGCTCAGTTCATACTTTCAGCTTAGTATTTTTATGTTGATTGTCATCAGTCATCACT